ACCAAATTGAAAATTAAATACGTATTTAGAATCCTCATAGTATAAGTTTTCCATTGGTAGTGTCAATTTCAAGTTTCGAGTAAGTTGATTCTGAATCTTTTAAATTGAATGTCTTCCTCTCATCCAAATTAAAAAGTAAATACATATTTAGAATCCCCATAACATAAAATAAATTGAATGTCTTCAATTATCACAAATTAATCAATTTAAAATAATATTAGATTTATCACATTTTAAGTTGTGAGTGAAAAAAAATATTGTATCCATATTTTAAAAAGTACTTAATTGACAATAATTCTATGCTGAGGGTCAAAAATTAATATAAATTTTATCAGATATAGATTTGATCCTTATATGAGTGGATTTTAATTATTTTATTTAATAATGGAATAAAAAAATATTATTACAATAATATCTTTAATAATTTATTTTTTCACCTGGATTGGTACTAATTAACCGATTGATACTAAGTCAATTAACTCTTAAATATAATATAATATAAATAAATACTAACTGTTTTAAACTAAGTTAACCCTAATATTATGACTAAAAACTTTTTTATTATTAATTTATTCTGAAAATTAATATATTTAAGGTTTAAGAGCTATTTTTATCCCACTAATAAACTCAACTTATAATTTTCAATTTTATGATATTTTCGCATTAATTTAGTCATTAAAATTATTCAATTACATCAATATTTAAAAATATTTACTATTATTTAGGGTTTTAAATTAAAATTTCAGGTTTGAGGTTTTTGGGATAAGAGTTAGGGTATAGAGTTTTATGTTAGGATTTAAGATATAGAATAATATAATTAAACAACTTTGATACGAAAATATCATAAATGTGAAAAATGATAAAATGGGTCTGACATGACAAAAATAATCGATAAGCCTATATTTAATTTCTCATCTCACCTTAATCCAGTGATTTTAAGACAATAATCCATGTTAGAAAAGCAGTAGAATCCCACGAAACCATGGACACAATATAATCGGCCTTTTTTTTTACAACCTTTAGTTGACTTAAGATGTCAAATTTCTAAGATCAAAGCGGCTTCCCAATAATTAATACCTAACTCATATTATACGAAGTTACAAACTATCTAAGCTTGAATTTCAACTCCCATTTTCCAGATACAGATGACATTTTCTCCATTCCGGTTCCTAGGGTTTTATCTTAATTAATTTAAATTTACTTGTGTCACTTCTGAAAATTAATATATTAAGGTTTAAGAGCTATTTTATCCAAGTAAACTCAACTTATAATTTTCGATTCTATGATATTTTCGCATCAATTTAGTCCTTAAAATTGTTCAATGCATCAATATTTAAAAATATTTATATTTAGGGTTTTTAAATTAAAATTTTCGGTTTGAGGTTTTTGGGATAGGAGTTAGGGTATAGAGTTTATGTTAGAGTTAAGATATAGAATAATATAATTAAACAACTTGATACGAAAATACCAAAATGTGAAAAATGATAAAATGGGTCTTACATGACAAAAATAATCGATAAGCCTATATTTAATTTCTCATCTCACCTTAATCCAGTGATTTTAAGACAATAATCCATGTTAGAAAAGCAGTAGAATCCCACGAAACCATGGACAAGTCAATATAATCGGCCTTTTTTTTACACCTTTAGTTGACTTAAGATGTCAAATTTCTAAGATCAAGCGGCTTCCCAATAATTAATACCTAACTCATAGTATACGAAGTTACAAACTATATAAGCTTGAATTTCAACTCCCATTTTCCAGATCCAGATGACATTTTCTCCATTCCGGTTCCTAGGGTTTATCTTAATTATTTAAATTTACTTGTGTCATATATGATTTCGTGGTGAATCTTCTAACTGGATTTTTTTTGCATAAACAAGGATTCGAACTCAAAACATACTTTAGTGATATCAAACTACTTACAACTTGATCATCCATTGGTCAATCCCGATGCTTTTAAATTTAATTATTCTCAAATTTTACAAGTTAAATTATTAACGATAAATGAAAGGGGAAGGACTCTAATTTAAAGTTTAGAAATGATAAATAAATTGGTTCTCTCATATCGTTAATTTTTAATAATAAAAAAAGATAGAATTAACTTATTTTTGTTAAATTAATCTAATCGAATCAATATAATTTGGTTCAATTAATTCAACTAATCATGTTATAGCCTCTTTTCATAAGACAATAATCTGATACAACATCGTCGAAAATAATTGTATCACTACATCAATCCATCAACATGAATTTGTGTAAGAACAAACAATCTCTATTAGGGGCCTTATTCTAAAATAACTTATCCGTGAACATTTGAGTAAATTCAATCATAGAGGAATGTTCATAACTCCGATAATAGAAAGATTTAAATCTAAATTAAATAACAAAAAAGAATATGAAAATAATGAATCTTTACGAATTAGTTTTGTTGGATACCTTGATGATTTTGTGTAAGAACAAGCAATATTGCTTGATTTTTTTAAGCAATCAGCCTAAATCTGATACTAATTATAGGGATAACAACATATTTAACATTGCTCTTTATTGAAGAATCAAACCTAAAATGATCTAGACTCGATTAAAGAAAGAATGAGAGAGTGATGGAGGGGCAATGACAATTAGGGTTTTGTGGGATTAGATTTTGCTGGAAATTGGATAAGAGAATAAGATTAAGACAATAAAGATAAACTAAAGACAATAATAATATATAATAATAATAATAATAAATAATAATAACTTAGCCAAATTAAGGTTTTAGTGGTGATGTGTGAGAATGTTGATTCAATGATGATGATAAGGGCGGTGAAGATAGAGTTAGATGCTATTTTGGTATTCTTTTTCAAGGCTTGGACATGTGGATCAATTGGAAGATTTAGTCAATTTTCCTTGATGTGAGCCTTGTGGTGCATGTATCATCTATGAAATTGTTATGGTACACATGGAACTCTTCATGCACACACGATGAATCTCATAAACTATATTGAAAAATTGAAACTCGCGTGAATTGGACAAAAATTGTATGAAATTCGTTATGTCGACTCAATGAATTTAAGTTATATATTATATTTTATGAAACTCGTTTTATCCACACAATGAGTTCCACAAAATATATTAAAAAATTAGAACTTGTAGTGTGGGCCAGACAAAAATTATATGTAACTCGTTATATCGACATGACGAGTTCCAATTATTTATTATTTTATGAAACTTATATATCCACCGAACGAGTTTCAAACATAAACAATAACTAGATCTCAAATTAAAATTTTAACACATGCATTTCTCGATCATTTTCCTTCTACATTATTTTATCGACAATCAGTTGGTATAGTGGGATGAGACATTAGAGTCCTTAAGCAATGTCAAGATTCGAATATTGGCATTTGTATATAGAGAAAAATGCGTTGGGAGGGTGACCCTCGTTTCTACATTATTCGATCCGGATTATTCGATTAATAATCATATATACAGATGGTTATACAAAAAATCATTCTTTTTTGTATGGAAATATAGTTTGATTGGTATTGAAGCCCTATTTGTAATATTATTAAGTATACAAAGCCCAACTTAAATGCTTTTAAGGTAAACAAATTTAGCCCAAGCTCCATTCAAATCAACAAACGGCACCCACCTCGCTACTTGGTTAACCAACGCACTCAATCATCAATATATACACCACCACCATCATATCCTTTCTCCTTGGCCGCTTTTGCTCGTCTCATCACAAACCAGACGGAGAAACAAAAGGTGAAGAAATCAGAGTTCACTAAGAGAGATCAAACGCAGCAGATTGAAAGAGAAACACCAACAACGGAAGGTGACCCTTTTCAAATTCAATTGAGAAAGCAATAACAGAGAAATTGCAGTAATTGTTTAGGCAAACAATCGGAAGAGAAAACCCAAGTTTTTGTTTTTCTCTGGGATGATGGTATTTCACTGTAAGATTTCTTCTTCTGCTGTGTTATTGTTTTCTGAGCTTTTGTTTGTTCTTATGGTAATGGTTTTCTTTTTGGATTTCAGGTTTTTCTGAGGGGAAGATGTAGTTTTATTTCTTAGATCTTAAGGTTGGGAAACCGATTCTCTCAAAGTTTCAAAATTTTCAAAAGAAATCTTTAATATTACGCAATTCTTCTCCTACTTTCTCTTAAACAAAAAAAAAAAAAAACTGCAAACACCCAGACTTGTTTTCATCATCTCTTGATTCACAGATAAGCCACCCAAATTGATTTTCTCCAAAAAGAAAGTTCTGTTGGTTTTGCTTTCTTCATCAAAAATTCGTTTTTGGGTTTTGATTTTCTTAAGAAATTGATTTTTTCATTGTTATGTTGTTTAATGGAAGAGATGGAGAATGAACAGAGGAGCCAAAGAGCATGCAAACTTAGAGCCAGAGCTGTTTTTACAGTGGGGGAATAGAAAGAGGCTAAGATGTGTGAGAGTTAAAGACCCTCAAAAGATCTCTCATAAATACAGTGCTGTAATTCGCAGAAGAATCACTTCTGCCAATTACAATCATGGTCTAACCAGGTATGAATATAAACCATGGTTTTTCTTGACTGCTTTTAATGGTTTGGGAAAAAACATGAGATTTTCTTTGTTTACAAGCATTTCTGAGAAGCTTGGGGTTGAACGAAGGGGAAGAAGATTGAATTTTGTTTTTGGAGATGGCTATGTTTTTCCCAGAAGCCATCTTCCAGTGATTAGGATTTCCCAGAAAATGACTAAATACTCGTTATCCCCTGTTTGGTTGCTGGGAAAAGGGAAGGTTCAATTTGTCTTGTTTATACCGATTTAGTTTCACGAGTGCTGTTTTGTTCTCTCAGCAGCCAAACATGGTGTAAGAAATTTCCATGTAAAACTTTTACAATGAAAACAGCAAACTCGTAAAAAAAAGGTGAAATTTACTCATTTTGTATGTTGGTTTTGTAGGAATCCGAAGCAGCTACACTCCGTCGGATCACCGGAAAGCGTCATCGCCGGAGAAGGAAGATAGGTACACGACAAGGGGTCATCAGCATGGATGAGAATGGGAAGACTGCATTGGATAGCAGCAACAATGTAGAGGATAAGAAAGGGTTGTGTGGCCAAAGCTGTTTATCACTTTGTCAAGCAAGAAAAAGAGGAGGATTTATGGCAATGAAAGGATGTAAACCCCCTCAAAGGCCTAAAAGAGAGCCAAAATCATCCAAAGGACTTTACTTGTAAGTAATCACTGTCGTAATTTTGTATTTTCTATTGGTAATATATTTTCGTCCATCCATTCATGTATATGACGTAATTGTGTGTCAAAAACCGAATATGAAGATGTTATCTTGTGGAAAAGGATTTCCTAGAATTTTCGGGTTCGATTTGTGCAGCTGGTGAGCCCTGGGCATGGTTGACTGATATGTGCCAAGAAAGATATGAAGTTAGGGAAAAGAAGAGTTCTAAGAAGGTAAACATATGGTTTATCTGCCTATTTCTGTAGTGTTTTTGAGTTAATTGCATGTATGTTCCTAAATTACAACCCTCGTTTTAAATTTATTCTCAAACTTTTAATATTCTAATTTCATCGTCAAATTATGACTCTTATTTAAATTAATCTTTAAACTTTTGAATATTCTAATTCATCTCTAAACAATGACCTCTTTCTATTAGTCCCTAAACTTTTGAATATTATGATTTTATCCCTAAATTCATCCAAGTATTTAATTGGTTTCAACCATTGTTTAACATAAATTTTGTTTTTTCAAACATATAATAATAATATAACTTGACCTAACGATTTTATTAACAATGAATGTGATTAGTATATATATATAGTTTGAGATGAAATTGGAATGTTCAAAAAGCTCGGAAACTAATGGAGAACGAAGGTCATAGTTTAGGGATGAAATTGAAATGTTTAAAAGTTTGAGGATTAATTTAGAATGGTGGTCAGAGTTTAGGGATAAAATTGGAGCGTTTAAAAGTTTAGGGACCAATTTAAAATGAGGGTCATATTTTGAGGATATGATGCAACTAACTTTGGTTTTTCAAATATTGTGCATGTAGTTTTCTTCATCCCTGTTGTTTGCAGAGACCAAGGGGATTGAAGGCCATGGGGAGCATGGAGAGTGATTCAGATTGAAGATTATTATAAAGCATTCATCCATGGCAGCTGCAGCAGGAGCATTTTTTTCTCTGGTTTTTTGGGAGGATTTTTGCAGCTAATGTTGATGGTGTTGTTAAGAGAGATTTAAATAGTCTTCTGCTAGCTACGAGGTTTGGTGTATAGAAGCTTAAATTTCTACTTTTATGAATGAAAATAATTCTTCTCACTGCAAAATGCACAAGTCTTATCTTAAATCTAAATTGTATGATTAAATATATTAATTTTAAATAAATATATGATATTATTTCTTTGATTTAAACTAATGATTTATTTATATTTTATATTATTTAAAAGTTATTTAAATTTATCTAACGAGAAAGAATTTAAATATTTCTTTAAATTAAACTTATAAACACTAAATTAAGTCACAAAGTAATTTACTAAAATTAAATTTAAATACCTAATTAAATTACTTAAAAAACTTTTACTAAATTAAAATTTAAAACTCATATCAAAGGCTAAAATATAAATTTGGTAATTAAGATGGTAAAAGTGTAATAGTATGATTCATGAGAGGACTATTTGTTAAGGACCGATCTGCTTGGATTCTCCATTATAACATCTCAAAAGTATGCTCTTTCTCTCTTCCAACTAGAGTAAGTATTTGATTGAGTTGAATCGAGTCAATTTTTTTTTAAATTAGTTGAATTAACTAGTCGTGTTTTGTAAATCAAATTTTATTTTAAATATTTTGTAGTCGAGTCTAGTTTATGAAATTCGAGTCAAGTCAATTTGTTTCAGTTTTTGTTTAATTTTAATTATAAATATTTATATTATTATGGTACTAACCGATTATAATTTAAACAACTCTCTATAATCATTAGGGATGGGCATGAGACTCGAACCTGACAGGTTCCGACCTGATCCGATCGGGTTGTTTTTTTTTTAAATTCGGGCTCGAGTCGGGTTGAATTCGAGTTTTTGGTGAAAAATATCCTACTCAAACCGACCGGAAAAATATAATTTTACCTTATATATGTAAGAATAAATATAATAGTATCCCTCTATATATTATTTTTTCAATTAAATCATTGTTTTTATTGAATAAAAATAATATTTTTTATTATTTCGGGTAAGTCGAGTAGAGAGTATATATTTTTGGGTCGGGTGGAGAGCATATATTTTAGGGTCAGGTGAAAGATATACAATTTTCGGGTCGGGTCAAGTTGGCCGAAATCCGAACCATGCCCATCCCTAATAATCATATATGATATGCATACATTGGCAAGTCACAACTTGTTGAGGGTGGGCACATGCCTATCTTGAAATCCAAATTTTATTTGAATAATTACTTATTTTACTGATGGTATACATCCTAAAATTTTATTCATACTCACTTTATTTAAAAATTTTGTGTTATTAACATATGCGTGCTTACTCTAATATGTGACTGTATACATATATATTTTTTCATATGTGATATACTTATATCATACAGAGTTAAGAGACTTGACTCAAACTTGAAAACAAACCCACTAATTATTAAATTTTTTTAGTTATTTGAATTATTTGAGTTTTATTTTAATTTTTTCAAATCAAGTAAATTTTTACTTGCTTCTAATTCCATCGGTTCCAATTTTTCAACGTGTTAATTGAATAAGTTAAATTAATTTTATTACTAAAATAATTCAATTAAACTTTTTTAACCTTGAATTAAACTTTGTAATCAAACTAAAATATCGACTAAACCGAATTTATATACGTATTTATTAGTTAAGATTTATTTATGTATATTATTTTAAAAAACACTATTATTAAACTAAACATATAAATATATACAATTATTTAATTACTATTAAAATATTTTAATATGATCAAACTGGTTCGTCAGTCTCAATTTTTGACAGCGAATTTATTGCATATAATTTTGAAAAGTATATTTCGGTAAAGATGTTTCAACTCGGTTTTAATCGAATTAATTGATTAAAATAGAAATTTTTTATTGACCAATCGATTAATTTTAGGCTCGAAATTAATAATTAATAATTTTTTCAAACTTTAATTATCACTTAATTCGATTTAAAATCGACTAATTAATCAAATTAAACGATTAACTAAAAATATTAAATACTTAATATATTATTTATATTCTACTTGACTTTAATCTAGTTTATTCGGTTAAATTAATTCAACTAAATATTAAATATTTAACATATTATATATGGAATAAGATCATGCTACACAATGTAAAATTTTTTTTAATTTTACACAGATTTAAGATAGTTTGATAAGTGAAAATAGATGACTGAGATTAACAATAAGAAATGAAAAGATATGCACCGTAAAATGAAAAAAAAGTCGATCTCAATCATTTGTTTTCACTCATCCAACGGTCCTAAATTTGTGTAAAACTAAAGAATTTTACATTGTGTAAGCATAATCTAACCCAATATATATAAAAACCAAAAATATTGAATATTTCATATATTATATATTAAATAGAAAACTATTCGGTTAATTCAAAAACCAACCGAATTAACCGAATTTGTTCAGTTCGATTAAAAAATGTTGAAATTTTTTTGGACTGATCGGTTAACTGAACCGGCCAATTGAACACCCCTATATTTGGGCTCTAATAGTTCATCTTTTATGCAACTCCACTTTGCAAGGTAAAGAAGAAAATAGTATACCAGTGCAAAAGTACGCATAATTCACAAACCAGTTTCAATTTTCAAATGCTAACACTGACTGTAATGGCAATTACTTGAAATGAAAGTTTCTGAGGTATATATAATATGCAAAAAGCCAATTATCCCAGACGGTTGTTTTCGGTATTTTTATCTTTATCGCGACGAATTTCGGAACGATATGTTGGTTTATATCCCGGAGATGTTCAATGCTACCGTAACACGAGATCCTGCAAAACAAATTCGACAAGCAAGAGTAAGGATCTTTGATTTCGGATACCATTGCCGGTATACGATGGTAACTTATAATGCTGAGGCTGAGCATTTGACAATCATAAGATTTGCATCAAACTAATTTCTACATTTGTTGCTTAGATGAGGCAGAGACGAGAGAAATTAGAAAACCTCACATCTTAGGTCACCTTCTACCAGCACGTCAGTTCGCTTGAGATCGAGCAGCTTGGAGCATGTCAACTATGAGTGTTTTCACATCCCTGATACATACATAAAAACCTGATTGAACAACGATAAAACATGCATGTAACACGGTAAAACCCGCAAAGTGTTCCACCCAAGCTATTGTTCTTTTACTTGACGTCTTAGCCAGTCAGAGAAGAACCGAGATCAGTATACAATCATGGCATTCCTATTTAAATAACTGGATTAAGGAAAACAATGTGCTCTGTCCTCCTCGTTTATATCAGTGGCTTTTGCCGGGATGGAATAAATTTCGTTTTTCGTTGAGAATCTCAGAACAGATGCCTCGAACAAAAAGTACAAGCAATAGCTAACAACAGATGATAAGTAATATAAAGGTAGCTCACTTTCTATCTTCTGCACGTCTAGGAAAAGGAACTCGAAGCTTGGAAGTATTTCCTTGATAACTAGCCTGCCATAAAACGGGGGAAAAGGCTTCATATACCAAGAATTTGAATACAGTAAGGACCGATTTGCAACTCACAAGGAAAGAGTGATTGGAATTTTCGATATTAGTTAACTTCAAAAGTAATGGAAAAAAGTTACTTTCTATTAGGTAGCTAATACCAAGATTCAGTATAAAAGGTTTAAAATTTATCACCTTGACATTGAATCCAAGACTATCCAAATCCAGCATGTAAGCAGAATCCACCTGGAGAAAGACGAATATCAGGTAGGAAAAGGAATAATGACACAAGCTGAGTCGTAACGGTGGATCTTCTAGAATGAAGATTCATTTTTCTGGATTTTCAAGATTAGTAGAACACTCATGCACTTTGGTTGAAGAAACATTCGACAGATTTGATTGAAGAAACATGCTTACCTGAACTAAGAGAGTAATAAATTCAATAAATTTAGCCGGATTATTATTAAACTATAAGCGTAAACTAAGAAACTTATCGTTTCTCTTACTCAGACGATAATAGAGGGCCCAGAATTAGCTATTGAGACGTGTCCTACAATTTTCCAACTTAAACAGCAAGAGCTATAACTGACTTGTCTCTGCAATTAAATGCCTTAAAATCTTGCACTTCATATAAGATAGTGTTAAACAGGTAATATTCCAAATTACCGGGATTGATGTTGCGAATTGCACGATGACTTTTGTGTCTTCGGCGTGATCCTTATTCATGTGAGACTGAAATGGAACACCGGCATTAATAAGAACCAAAAAAGGAAGTTCTCGAGAAAAAAGAAATGTTGAATAAGGGAAAATGAACAGCCAAAAGATACCGCAACAGGCTTAGAGAATTGAGCTATGGGGTCAACTTTTGAACTCTGGTACTCCTCTTTGTTGAACTCTAAATGACATAAAGGTCAAAAAAAAAAAAGAGATGGTTAGGAGAAAAGGATAACACCACAAAAAATCCATAAGAGTTGCCGAAAACAATAATCAAATGGGTGAAAGGCAACAGAAAAAGAACCAGTAGTCCCTTGTATTAAATGGAATATTACTCGCTTAGAAATGAAATAGGATGCAAGGCAGAAAAGTAATCAAAGTGCAGACCTCCTGATCCCAGCAAAGCTGTCGCAACACCTGATACGTATCTCACAACTTTTGGTTCGATGCGCATAAATTGGAAGTCACCAAAGTCAACCTTTAGAATGGAAAGTATATGCTGAGTTCTCTATCTATACAGATTAGTGACAAGATTTATCTAAAGGGACATATGGCATGCAGGGGGATGCGATACAAACATACCCAGAATGCGTTGGGATGTTTAGCCAGATAAGCAGTTCGAACGGCTGCTTGATCTTTTTCGGAAACCTATATAATTGATCAATACATCATCTCATATACTTCAGAACACCAAACAATTAGGATGAGTAATAGGAGAATGGAAATTACAAATAACTTACAGCAATAGCATCACCGTGCAGAGTGATTGTTAAATCAGTCCTGTCCTCAGGATCTCTAGCAACAAGCAATGAACATTTGCAATTGGCCAATAAGTCCTGCAACAGCAATTTTTGTAATAGTTATCAGGTGAAAAGAACAAAACTTGTTGACCGGATCAAAAGAGAAAGTAGGATTAACAACAGATTTAACTCCCAATGGTAGAATGAAAAAAGATCGGTGACTATAACATAAGAAATTAATTCTAATTACAAGAACACAGGCATATCTTAGAGTTTTCCTGGCTGTCATCACTCATCAATGACTTTGTCAAAAAATGGTAACATGACAATATCGATTTATAACCTTAACAATTTACATGATTTAACATAATTAAAAAAGAAGAAAAAAAGCATGATTAAATACTAATCTGAACGATATTCGATATCGTTTTGATGTTTCAATTTCCCTCCTAATTCTTCTGAGCTAGGACAATCAATGAATAGATTCCAATTCAAAGTACTCATACAATTTAAATTCAAAATCTAAGAGAGAACCTTAGCATGAACAGCCAGGCTGCTGACTGCTAAATTGGAGATCCACTGGCATCACATGCAAAGTCAACCATTGACCCCGATGGATAGCCTCATGCTTCTGCATACAGAAATGAGTAGGATAACAAGAATTTTTTCCATATATGAGTTGTTAAGGAAAACATAAGTCATTATTTTAATTCCATCCAAAGACTTTCACAAGAGTGCCAAATGACCCATGATTTTGGAAGATCTTGTTTCCGTCACAGTTCTGTATAGGAAATATCGGTTGTTTGAGAAACAGCATGGCCTAAGATGCCGAAACTGCAACTAGGAAGGACAGAGAAGGGAAACTTTGCAATATTCAGCAACATCTTGTGGAGCTAGTTGATTATGTTTTTATTCACTATGAAGTGTAGTGATTACAAGATTCTTTTATTCAATTTTAGAATTGTCTAGATGATGATTATGATCTGCAAAGCGAGAATCCTTCTAACTTCTTCATCCCAAATCATCACCGTGGAAAGGTTGAGCGAATCACAGTAATCATAACAAAACGAATAGAAAGCAAAAAACAATAGCTGTCCTCAAACAAGAATCAAAGTGTCTTTACATCAGTCTTCATACTAAATTATCCCAAATTTTAAATGATCAAATCAACTACTAATATGATGACATACCTGTGAAAAGTTGAAAGCATACCGCGCGTGCTCTGATCAAGCACAGTACGGATTTCCTCCACCGGAGAAAGCCTAGCAGCCTTCTCCTGCAAATGGAATGACCAAGTTTCAGTAAACACCAAACCCAAATTGACTACAGTATATATATATACACACAAAACAAAGAGGCAAACTCATACGGAAACGAATTCAAACATTTACATACATAAAATTTAACAAACCTGATGAGCTTGAATTAACTGAAACACATTGGTTTCATTATTAATATCCTCAGGAGAGATTGCCTGGCAAAATAAACATAAAACCCATTATTTTTTCTATACAAAAAAGAATCTTTTCCAATCAATTTACTCCTTTTCAGATAAAAATCGATACAAAAAGGAAACCCAGGTTTCCTTTTCCTTTTTAATATATAGAAATAAAAAGAAAGTTGAGTGTGTAAATTACCTGAGAGGAGGAAGAAGAAGAAGAAGGTCGAGTTGCAGAGGCCATGATAGAGAGGAGTCCAGGAGGAGGAATGAGAAAGAAACGAGAGCGGTGAAATCGAAAGATGGGAGAAGATGGAGGGGTTTTATAGACATTTAAGCGTGAAATTAGGGAGAGAGTACGAGTTGCTGGTAGAGTCGTCATTCCTTCCACCCACCTGCTAGAACTACAAGATTCCTGTGCAAACAAACCAAACCAAACTATTTATTATTTATTTAATCTCTATGTGTTTTTTTATTTTGAGGTTGAGAGCTACTTGAAAAGATGTTGAGAATTTAAAATGAATGAGATAGGAGGTTGAAGACGAAGGCTACCAAGAAAACTAAATATGATATCTGGTCTAAATTTCAGGGCATTTTTATTGGGATATTATCATTCCAAAATGTATTGGGGAAATGTTACTCGTTTTGTTTTGTTTTATAAACTTAGAACTTCAAAGTTAATTGGGATATTAGTTAGTAGTTGCTCTGTTTAATGTAAGTGTTTAACATTTTTGATATTATTATTTTTATATATGATCTATCACGATCGTTAAAAAAATCATTATCTAACGCTTAACGTATTTATATTTTCTAAAATTATCATTTAAAGAAAACCCATTTTTAAAATATCAAAAATACCCTGAAATCTTAAAGTCTCTAATTTCAAACTTTCATTACCACCATTGGCCATTGCCTGTGAACCATTTTGTATGGTCGTCTCTCTATCGTCTTTAATCCTCTGCTCATCCATTACAGCTCTTCTTCCAACGTCTTTTAATTCTCTGCCGGTCTTGCTATTTGCTTGGTGATGCCGTTATCTTCGTCAAAATCCTCAACTTTCAATTTTATGTATCGAATTTTTCATGCTTTCTCCTCGTAACATTTTTCAACAATTGCTTTTAGCCTTTAGGAAATCATTCATTTGCAAATTCCCACTTGACCACCTTTCAAATATTAACTTTTTTTAAATGTTGCCACCTTATCAATCTAACGAAGATGAGAGTAGAGTAATCATTTTGTTACAAATCGGTAATGTTAGTGACTAATATGTTACTTTTAAAACTTTAGTGGAAAAACAAAAATTTACTCAAACATTAGTGGAAATTTGTGTAGTTTACCCTTTTTAAAAAACAAAATTCTCTACAATTTGAATTTTAGACGTGATTCATCACTTTAAATCTCAGGATGGAGCACTACAAATTACTAGAGATATGAGCATTCATTGTTAAATGATCGAGAATATTTGAACTTATACAACTTTTATTTATCCAGATTTATAAAAAAAAATAAAACATAACTGATTCATCTTAATAATCAATACTCAGAGGTTCTTTAAATAAAAAATATATTTTAAAATAATCTTTTATTTTAAAATATACTTGTAAATTTTAAATTTATTTTTTTCATTGATCTTTTAAAAATAACAATTTGATCATTTATGTTATCAATTTATAATAAAACGATGATTTTTCATTAGCAACCATTATTTAAGGTGATAAAATGCTTTTGTGACTCGTTAATCCAGTTGACCTAACACTATTTTATCATGTGAGACAATCCTTCACTGGAACAACCTTTCTTCTTCTTCTTCCGTTCGACACTGGCCCACCACCACTCTCACCGCCCTTTTTGTTGTCGTTTTCCTCCATTTTAGGTGCTACAATCTCAACGTTCTTCTTGAGTTTGTTCTTCAAAGCCCCAACCAAGGCCTTAACATCCATAGTTCCCTTGATAGGGACCAATTCCTTATGCTTGCCTACTTTCAACTCGTTGCACACCTACAACACCATGAAGGAAAAAACCTCTCTTAGGGGCTGTTTGGTTCAGAAAATGTGAGATTTCCCCGGGAATGGAATCTACATTTTCTCTGTTTGGTTGGCTGATAATCTCATTCATTGTAATGTTTTATTATCAACAGTGGATTTTTTTAGGTATATTATCGGGAATGTCATTACCCTTTCCCTTAGGTATTGTTAGATTACCGACATTTTGGACTAAAATGCCCTTAATTTTTTTTCTTTCAAAAATATAATTCTTCTGTCATTGAATAATAAAAATTCTACGAAGGTTAAATTACAAATTTATCCATAAACTATTTTAGATTTACAAAAAAAAATCTATAATTAAATTTTTTATGAAGTTCAGGGGTTAAAATAAATTTTACCATTTTATTAAATCTTTTTATATTTTTAATTTTGTAAAAAAATTATATAAATTTTGTGTATTTAATTTTTTTAAAGAAAATATATAAATATCTTATAGTAATATTATAGTAGAATTCAACTTGTTAAAAAAACAAATATATAATAAGGACAATGTGGTCAAATATACATTTTAATAAACTTTTATTCCTTTAACCAAACACAGTAATCTTACATTCCTGCTAAACCAACCAAACATAAAATACAACATTCAGTAATCTTATTCTCTGGTAATCTTTTATTCCCACTGATAATTACATTCCGTAAACCAAACGCACCCTTAGTCTGGTGTATTAAATACGAACATACAAAATAGAACTACATTGGATCATATGGCCCTTTGTTATGGTCAATGATGGAGGGAAGTCGAACGGTCGTTGTCTCGTGTGATAAAATGGTATTTGCCCTAAAAAAATAAGAGAATGTTCAATATTCAATTTTCTTTCTGAAATAGAGAAATGGATGAGTTTGTATACACTAAAAGTACGAAAAGAGTCAAAAAGCATACAAAGTAATCATTAGTTTGTATTCATCTTTTGTTAACATAGATTCATCTTTTGTTAACAATATATGTTAAAAGCTCTAAGTTAATACATATTCTCTCTCTAAGTTATGAGTTCAATATTCATTAAGAGCAAAATTTCATTTCTCCTGCCACTAGATAATAACTGTTCAAAAAATTTTGTATTCGTCTTTTCAATATGTAATGTTTCTATCTATTTTTAGGTTTAATAAATAAAATAAGTGTTCAAATTATACCATTTGTTCACATTAAGTCTCTAAATATCATACAATTAAATTTCTAAAATCCATAATTCTAATCTTTCTCACTACCACCGACCGTTACCAACACCGTCGATTGACCACCACCAACATTATTGATCAATCAAAATTCTAAACCCCAACGATATCTACCGACCGAAACAATAATCCCTTAGCTGCATTCTTTGGTAAACCAACATGATATATTCTCTAAGTTACAAGCTAAAGCGAAAGAACACAATCGACCATTATTATTATTAGGGTTTAAGGATTGGGTATTTGAGATTTTAAGGATTTAACTTTAAGGATATGAGAATTTAAGGGTTTAAGATAACAACAAGAATGATGACCGATCAATAGGTGGATTACGACGAATGGGTTGACGTTCGAAGATGGCCTACTGCAGCAACAAAAGGGATTCAAATTAAGGATTTATATTTTTTATGATTTTAGAAAATTTTATGATTTTTTAAATAATAATAACATTTTATGTTTTATTTTTAAAAAATAACTTAAAAAAATAAACGTAACAAGTTTTAGATAATTTTTTTTAATAGTCGTGATATACTAAGCACTTAAAATAGCAACGTTGAAAAAGTTAAACGTGAACATTGAACGAAAATACTTTTAAGCACCTAAAATGATCAAAGAAATACTTCATTAGCAAAAGCACATCTCAAAAAGCATTCAGCTTTCCTCTGCTTACACATTCTCCTCCACTCTTCACATCCTCCTCTACCTTTGCAGTATTATCACTATGTTTGCCTTTCCCCTTTTTTCATTAAAGTGTATGAATTTAGAAGCATTGTAGTAACCTTGAGAACAATGTATATTTTAGATATATCGATCAGAACGAAATCGTTCGATTTGTTATTCTCGATAGTGCAGTATTTAATCTATGGAAATCCCACAAAGTTTCCTATCTTCATGGATGCCGAGAGGAGTTTCAGAGTCGAAATTTTATCCCAAGAAGAATCGATGCTTCCTTTCGAAAATACAGTGAACGTATAAAGTCTTTTGGTGTTCAAAGTTTAACAAGGTGGGAAGTGAACAGCTTCCATAAGTTGAAGTATGTATTTACTTCATCTATGGTTAAAAGCTTTGTTCAACTCAAAACACTTGTTTCTGCTTGTGATGAAATGCAAGCCATAATAGGAGTATTAGCAACAGAAGAAGAAGAAGAAAAAGAAAGGATTAGCATCATCATCAACTTGTATCTCACTACTTTCCCAACTTAAAAGTTGAGCGAATACCGACATTGACATCTAACTTGTTCCCTTTATTATCCTAACCTAATCTTCAAACACTTGAAATAAAAAGTGAACGAGTTGGTCAAGGTGGTGCAGGCCTGCTACTCTCTTAGATAACTGAATTAAGGTGACAACTTTGGGAATGGATGCATTTATGGAAGAAAAGGATTCTAAAATCTAAAGATTTTGAATGTGGAGAACTGCCCCAAGTTGAAACGAGTACATATCGTTGCGAAAATATTGAAGAAATAGTACAAGGTGGGGATGATGATCATGATAAAATCAGTTTCCCCCAACTCAACCATTTGGAAGTTGCATGGCTACCGAAGCTAGAAAGGCTCTGCTCATTAGAGATTACGGCATTAGATTCCCACCCTTACATACTGTGAGTGTGGAAAATTGTCCAAGTATGAAGATGTTCTCTCAAGGACAATCACTTCAATGTTGAACAAAGCAAGACTAAATGAGTGGGAAATGAAGAGCATTGGAAAGGTGCCCTTAATGGCACCATACAACAACAATTCAGAGAACAGATAGATATGCATTCCAATAATCATCTTGGGACTTGGGTTTTACAAGTCAATCTCCATACATTTCTTCAATCCAAATAAAAGAAATGGAAGTTTTTTAGGGTTTTATGAGTTAACTACATCACATGTCCTCAAGTATGATCCTCATTTTAAATTGGTCCCTAAACTTTTAAATGTTTCAATTCCATCCCTAAACTATGACTATCATTTTAAATTAGTCCTCAAATTTTTAACAATTCAATTTCATCCCCAAACTATGATCTTCATTCTAAATTGGTCCCTAAACTTTTTGAACATTCTAATTTCATCTCAAACTATACGTATATACAAATCACATCCCTTGTTAATAAAATCGTTAGGCCAATTGGATGAATTATATTATTATATGCTTAAAAAACAAAATTTAGGTTAAACTATGATCGAAACTAATTACATATTTAGATGAATTTGGGGATGAAATTGGAAGAAAAGTTTGGGGACTAATTTAGAAAGAGGGTCATATTTTAGGGATGAAATTAGAATGCTTAAAAGTTTAAGGACACATTTAGAATAAGAATCATAGTTTGGGGGATGAAATTAGAATATTCAAAAGTTTAAAGACTAATTTAAAATGAAGGTTATAGTTTGGGGGACATAATATGCAATTAACTCGGGTTATATTAAGTGGAGTAGTAATGGATATAGAAGATTAAATTGTATTTGTTCGAAAAAGAGGATGTTATATATCACCTAGATTTCGGATAAGTAACTGTCGCTAGTAAAACTCATATGTTAAGTATCCAACCAAAGCTAATTGGTAATAGATTCCCAGACTCAAATTATATACATAAACTATATAAAAAAAATCAACTATTGTAGAGAATGTTTACCTTGTTTTGACCCTTTTAGATTCTTAGGAGACATTATTTGAGGAAACAGTGGTCTTGGCACCAAGAGGGACATTTCCAGCAACTTCAGCAGCTACCAACTCTCGTGGTCGCTTAATACCACCTTGTTTCTGTGATGAGGTCTCACTCATAGGAGCAGTGTTAAGGGCATGGTTAGCTTCTGGGGAGGTAATACTTCTGCTTTCGTTTATATTTTCAAGAGAGAGAATTAAATTCTTAAGCATCTTAAGATCTTGAGGTAGGTACTCAGATTCGAGTTTATGATCTTCAATGCATTTGACAACAGCCCTCAGATCAGCAATTCTTTTGGTGTTTGCCTCATTCTGTCAATTAATTTTACATGTTCAGGTGGCTTAATATTTAACGACGAACGAAGCAGGCATTTAAATAGAAAGGTAGATAAACCTGTGCTTTAGGCTCCATTTTTCCCTTTTTCAAAATTGATCTAGCTTCAGCCTTAGAATGATTCAAGAAATCTTTCAACACAGGTACTGGAGGGAACTCATTAACCTGTTCAAAAGCATAAATAAATCTAATTGCCTCCATATGCTGCTTCTTTCAACAAGTTTTCTTATGAAACCTGTCAAGCAGGTAATCCAAATTATAACTCCTATGGAACAAGGCCTTGGATTTATTGAGAATGAAACAAAAATTGTTCATACGTGAAAGGAGATAGAGAAGTTTCTTGTTATCAGTACAAGAAAACTTATAATATTTTAGATATGCATGTAAATAAGAGAAGGTAAAGGGTTCTATAAACTTTACCAGTGATCTTATCTCCCAAACCAAGAGCCCTGAATAATTCAGGAGTTTGAATATGTTGAGCAACAAACACCAAAAAGTTGACAAGCTCATCAGCATCAAAAGCACCAGCCAATTGGAAAGGGGCTAAAAGACGCAGAAATCCCAAGACCTCCAATTCATGGCCAGATTCAACTCTCATTTTTGTTATCCAATCAAAGGCAAGCTTCATAGCTTCTTTTCTAACACGAGGCTTAACTGCAGGTGAGATTTTCATCAATTGCTCTAACAAGAGAATGCAACTTCTTCTGGCAACATTCCCTTCAAACTCCCCGTCTCCCTTACTCAAATGTGGAGGGTAAAACCCCTCCATTGCATCCAAGACAAGCTTTGCAGGCTCTGCTGCAAGTTGAAGAGCCATAGCAACTTCAGTGCCAATCAACCATGATCTTTCCAGCGCTCATTTAGGAACATCTGCAAATCCTTTCCATCCATATATACACAAAACCAAAGATGTGCTGGTGAAGAATGATCTATGGAACATTTAACCGACAAACTACCTGCTGATTCATTTTTCACTTGAGGATGCAGGGCTAAAGCAAGATTCTTTCTTTCAAGTTCTTTAGACCATTCCACGAGTTTCTTCTCCTTTAAATCAAGATCTCTGAATCGCTGCTCACACTTCTTAACATTGAACTCAAGCTCGTTGGACTGTTGCTCATACTTTCTCCTATGTTCTGCAGATAATTCTTCAATCTCCTTCTCTCTTAGTTCAACTTTTCTCTTACATTCATCATAATGCTTCTCTTTGGCTTCAAGCTCTCGATTACGTTGCTCAAGACATTTTTCTTTCAACTCAAAATCTAGAGAACGACATTTTTCTTTTAACTCAAAATCTTTTGAACACTGCTCAAAATGCCTCTCTTCAATCCAAGCTGTTGCTCTTTGGCCTCAACCTGTTCAAACTGATCTTTAACCATTTTCTCCTTAAGCTTCAGCTCCATGAATCTCTGATCATATTGCTTAACTTTATTCAAGTTCTTCAAATTGTAATTTATTTTCTCGCCAGTTCCACAGATGATTCTTCTATTTGCTTCTCTTTCAATTTGATTTCTCTCCAGCACTCTTCATTATGTTTCTGTTTTGCTTCAAGTTCTTGATGACCCTTTTCAATAGATGTCTCCTTCATTGTAAAATCCCTAGAACGCTGCTCAAAATGATTCATTTTCGATCTAATTTGCTCTTCTTTCCCTTTAAGCTCCTCAGACTGGGTTGTTATTGATTCTTCCATCAACTTAAGCTCTCTGAATCTCTCCTCACATTGTGCAGATTTCAATTTTAGATCTTTAAGACCTTTTTGAAGGCAATTCTCTGACAACTCAACATCCCTGCAACGCCGCCCAAGATCGCTCTCTTTCTGCCCGAATTCTTCCTCTTTCTTCTTAATCTCTTCCAACCGCTTTTGCACCCCTTTCTCTATCATCCCATGATCCCTACAACGTTCTTTGAAAGCCTTTTCTTCCAAATCAAACTCAATGGCACGCTCCAAAAAACGCTTCTCTTTCAACCCAAATTGCTCTTTTCTGAACTTAAAATCTCTCAAACACTTCTCCAAATCTCTCTCTTTCAACCCAACTTCCTCCAACCTTTCCTTTGTCGATTTCTCCTTCAACTTAGCCTCTTCACATTGCTTCTCACATTGTTTTACACTAAATTCAAGATCTCTACGACGTTCTCCGAAAGCCTTTTCTTCCATCTCAACTCTACACACGCCTCTGAAAACTTTTCTCTTTCAAACTGAATTGCTGTTCTTTTAACTCATAATCTCAAGCACTTCTCAAAACCTCTCTTTCAACCCAAATTGCTTTTCTTTCAACTCATACTCTCTCCAGCGTTTCTCCAAGTCTTTCTCTTGCAACCAAACTGTCTCCAACTTGTCTTTTACGATTTTCTCCATCGACTTAGCCTCTTCCCATTGCTGCTCACATTGTTTTACATTAAACTCAAGATACTCACGACGTTCTCTCAAAGCTTTTTCTTCCAACTCAAACTCCTTGCAACGCTTCCCGAAACTCTTCTCTTTCAGCCCAACTTCCTCCAACCTATCTTTTACCGATTTCTCCATCGATTTAACATCTTTCAGTTGCTGCTCACATTGTTTTACACCAAATTCAAGCTCTGCACGCTGCCGCTCAAAATCCTTCTTCTCTAACTCAAAATCCCGACGACTCTTCTCAAACGCCTTCTCTTTAAACACAAACTCATCCTCGTTTAGTTTATTCCTTTCTTCATAACACTTCTTCCCCAACTCCAAATCCCTAAATTGCCTTCCTAGCTCCTCCTCTTTAACCTTAAGGTCTTCAAACTGGTCTTTAACCGATTTCTCCTTTCTTCTGATCTCATCTTCTTTTGAACTCACTTCTCTGAGTCGTTCTTCAACCGAACTCTGAGCGGACTCCAAAACGTGTTCCATATCTTTCCATCGAAGGTTAAGTACAAGAAGGGAAGAAACGCGATCTTGAATCTCATTCATAGTTCTTCGTAAATTGGTTTTGCTCAACTCAATGCGTTCTAAATCGGTTAACTTCTCCATCAAGTAACTCGAAACAAAACACCCACTAATCTTCAGAACTCAATTCATGCAGGAACCTAAACTTGCAAATTAAAAGCAAAAGCAAAAATAGAATCTCTTTGTTTGTTGAGGAAGACAGAGACGAGAGAAATTTAGAGGAAAGAGGGAAAAGAATTAGGGGAAATTCGAAAATTGGGGATGAAGAAATCCCCAAAAAGAACGTTTATAGAGTAGTACTTTTAATTATCAAAAAAACAAAAGGTAAAGAGTTAACTGAGGCCCTTATACTTTTAAAAAATTTAATATAATCTTTGAACTATTTTTTTCATTCAATGTGACTTTCAAACTTAAAAAAAGAACTTAACGTGGTCATTTGACAAATGATTTTCGTCATTAACTGTTACGATACTGATGTAATATTTTAGGATGTTGATTTGATAGTCTATGGTGCTGACATGATGGTCTACGATGATTGATTACGTGACAGATTAATTAAATTAGTTTTTTATTGAGTTTGAGGGCTAAATTGATTTTTTAAGGTTCAATGACTTATTTATTTTTTAAAAAATATTTTAAAATTAAAATATACAAATATACAGAAAAATAAATATAAAATATTTAAAAAAAAGTAAATTACTAAAAAATTAAAAATATATATCTATTAATTAGTGATTGAAAATAAAAAAAAAATAGCTTACCTTATTCCCATATGTAATGGGGTAAGGTGAGGTAGGGTAGTAGGCTGCCCCCAACGCTAGGTTGAGAGGAACTTCCGTGGATAACCTCCGGCAATTATGAAAATGTTATTGCTAAATGATTCATCGAATTTAGAGACGAATTCTAATTTGAGTTTTATTTTATTTAGTAGTATAATTATATTGTTATGTTCGCATATGTCGATTCTAATGTAAATTTTATTTTATTTTTATTTTGTAGAGACGAATTTATTATTCTTTGAAAATTTTAAAAAAATAAATATTGGAGATGATTCGTGACAAAAAAAACCCCTCAAATACATAAAGTTCATACACACATTGACTTTATAGAGTTGTATCTAACAAAAATTGATGGTGAGATTGGTTTTCCTATTATATATATTTTTAGATCAAATTTAGGCGAAGTTTATTTCTCTCTATCATATTATTTTTAAGTTTATTTCTCTCTATCATATTATATTTACTAAAATGTTCCTCTTAATTCTATAATTATTTTTATATATGTTTAAATTATATAATTTCGTGATAATTTTTAAATAAATTTTAATTCCATAACCTTTAAATTTTATTTTTTATAAGATTTTATAATATTTATTTAATTCAATTTTATAAAAAATTAGTAAAAAAATGAAAAGATATTTGGTGTTTAAGATAATTAGAGGTAAATATTTAAAATAAAATTAGTGTAAGATGTTAAATTAGATTTATATAAATAAAAATCTAGATTTAATTTGGGGTAAAAAAATAATAATATATTATAATTTTTTAGCAATTTAATTTTTTGGTATTTTATTTTATTTATTTATTGAATATTTTTATATTTTTATATTTATTTTTAAATTTTTTAAAAATCGAATAGGCTCCTAAACTTTTAAAAAATAATTTAGCCCTAAAATTCAATAAAAAATCAATTTAAGTCATCAACCAAATCACCAACCATTGTGGATCATCACGTCAGCATCATAGACCACCACTCAACATCGTGAAATGTCAAGTCAAAATCATAACGGCAATAATGAAAATCGTTAGTCTAAGGGTCATATTAAATTCTTTTCCTAAATTTAAAAATTACATTAAGTACAAAAATAGTTCGAGTCACAATATTTTTCCGCCCGAAAAATAGAAGGAGCTCAATTACCTTTTTGCAAAAACAAAATTACAAGGCAGTATGGTGGGTTGGGCTTTTTGTTCGTAGTGTGTTTTAAAAAATGAAGGGTAAACTACACATTAATATTCAAACTATAACTTTTGTTCTTTTTTGCTCATCAACTATCTTTCTCAAAATCATATATAATTTTATGTTTTGGTGTCATTTTGATCACCCACCGTTAAAAAATTAACAAAACTACTGACATATCATTTAAAAAAAAAATATTGACGTGAAATTACTTTATAGGGGACACATCAACATCACCGTTAAAAAAATTAATGGTGAGTGACCAAAATGAAACCAAAACGTAATATTAAGTATGATTTTGAAAAAATAGCTGAGTGACCAAAATAGAATAAAAGTAATAGTTGAGGTACTTAACGTGTAGTTTACCAAAACAATATTGATTTTCTTTTATATGTTTGTTTATCTGAGATTTCATTTTAAAATTTAGGTTAAACATACAAATTGACTCGTAATATTGACAATTTTATCAAATTGACTTTAAGAGAGAACAATAATCTGTTTAATCATTTCAGATAAATATTATTTTTATAAAAAACAATATTTTCATGATTTTTAAAATTAATTACAATATAATAATTAAATATATTAAAATTAGATGATAATAAATCTATTAAAAATATTCAATCTATTAGCTTCAAATTTCACCATCTCCCGTCCCTAAACTCTTTAAATTTGAACCTAAACCCTTCGTCTGCAGATGTTTAATGTGAGTTTTTGGCCTGTTGATGCAGCATCTATGTGCTTAGAATAATATTTAACTTGACGAGTCCTGTTTTATTTGTAAATTTTTTAAAGTCAAGTAGAGTCATTTGAGTTTTTATTTAAATTTAATTGTAAACATTTATAATATTAGGATAATATTTGATTTCAGTTTAAACGATTTTTATAACCATATACAATATACATATATATTTAATCGAATACTCGTAAAATTTGGGTACCTGTAAAATTGGGTATCAAGTATCCGGTTAACATTTTTTATTTTTGAATATAATTTTTCTAGAAAAATGAAAAATCACATAGAAAATAGATAAAATTAAATAGTTCATAATACATAATCCATACACAAAAATTAGTAATTTTAAGTTAGTTTTATGGATAAATATTTGAATATATATTAAAGATTATTTCTAAAAAAAATATTAATATCAATATCAATCATAATTTTTTTCTTTGGAATCTTATATTGATAAATTAATAAAATTATTTTTTAAAAGAGAAGGAAATGAAAACATAATTAGACTACTGATCAGTGCTCAACCATTTGAGCATTACAAAATTTTTCATGCAACAACGGGCTTATCTATGTAGGTGATACTGACAAAGAGTAGTAAACACCAATTTTTTATCTAGTAAAAAATAAAGAAATCATCACAACCATACCTGCTGCAGCAGCCCCATACCCTGCCACCAAACAGCAGCCCCATCCCATGCGCATGCCTCCACGCCAGCAGCAAGGTCGGCCTCTCCTCCAGAGCATGGCACCACCGAATGCAATGAGATGGACCAAATCTTTTATTTTATTTTTGACATTTTCTGTAACGGGTATATAACCCGAGAGAGAACAATGTAAGGGACTCTTTTACTGGACAACCAATCAATAAAAAAAAGATTACTTTGAGTAAAAAAACACAGAAGTTTTTTTTGAGTTCTCCATTTTCCAGTAACTTTCCCTTTGTCTTGTGGTTCTTTTTTTCGAAATAAAAAGAGGAAAGGGAAGAGAGCATTTACCTTAGCCAAAAAGAGCTCCCTGTCGGAGTACTCGCTTGTCGTCGGTGTCGGGTAAATGATAGGCCGAGTCCTCTTTAGGCTAGATTTTGGTTGCATGTTGGTTTTGGGGGTTTAGTTTTAGATGTTATGAGTAAAAGGGGGGCTGGTTTGGTCTATTTCGGAGCCTTGGGTCGCCTTTTCCGATCATGTTTGGAGTCGGTTGGAGTCGGGTGGCCACCGTTTCATGATGGCCGGCGTTGGAGGCCCCTTGATCTTTAGGGAGGCGCCGTTCGTGAGAGTTGGGGAAGTTTTTGCCGCATATTTGACGAAAATTTGATTTTTTTTTTTTCATTTTGGTTCACCGTGCTTTCTGGGAGTTGATAATGAGGGGTTTCATTTTAAATTTTTGAGAAAATCACGTATCAGATCCATGCATTATGAGAACTTTCTTCTTTGTTCACTTATCTTAGGGGTTAATCGTTTAATGGTCCCCGTAACTTAAGCCCTCTTTTAGTTTTAGTCACTTGTTTAAGGGTTAATTATTCTTAGGTCCTCATAGTTTAGGCGTCTATTTACATAATGGTCATTAGTTTGTGGGTTAATCACCCACAAGTCCTCATAAGTTTGCCTTATTTTTATATTTTAGCCATTAAGTCCCTATTTTGTTTATTTATTTCGATTTTGACATCTTGTTTCGTTTATTTTTAATTTGGTCTTTATTTTATATTTATATTTTTAAATTAATTGTTGACTTTTATTTTCTTCCATTTTGTTATTTTAGCACTTTAATTTCTTTTATTTACATTTGAATACTTTTCATTTATTGCAATTTACTTATAGCCCTTTATTATTTAAGCTTTATTATTTTCACATTTTAATTTTTGTCATGATCATTTTAGTAACTATTTTTTCTTTGTTTGTTTATTTAACTTGATATTTATACTTTAAAGTATGAACTTGTTAATTTAGTCAAATTTTATTTCCACCATTGAATAACATTTAATTTTTATCTTTGCTTTAATGTCCATTTATTTAATCCTAATTAGTATTAAGAAAGGACCGACTTAAAGTAACTAATTAGGAACAAATAAATGGACATTAAAGATAATATTTAGGAACAAATGTCAAAAGCATAATTCTTCTGATTTTAAAATTGGATTATAGAAAATATTTATTTATTTTAAAAATATTAAGAAAGGACCATCTTAAAGTAACTAAATGTCTTATTTTGATATTTTAAAATAAATAAATACCATATTTAGAAAAATCTAAAAAATTTGAATATTCAAATTTTAGTTATATTCATTTTGGTTGTATCAAATTATTTTAATTTTGAATTTTTAAGAAAAAATATTATATTTATTTTATTTCAGTTGCAAAGAGAAATATTCGTTTTAAAGTATTTTAGATATTATTTTCTTTTTTATTGAAAATATTCGAATATTTTTTATTTATTATTAGAATTTTTTGTTCAATAAAATTGTATTGTTGAATTTGGAATAATAGAATTGTAATTTAAATTTTTATTCGATTTCTTAAATTTCACTATTAAAGACAATTTATAATCGATAGGG